GTGGCAAAGTCGGGGGGAGGATCAGGTGGTCAATTAAATTTCACTAGTTCTGTTACGGAATCAAATCTATCTAGTTCATGTTGGAGGAAGCTCGATATACCAGTTTTTGTAGGAGGCGAAGTGTATGGATGGACTAATCGTTTAAAACGTTATTTTCGATTAAAGGCTGTTTCGGAAGAGGAGAAAATGCAAGCGGTAATGGTAGCATTAGAAGGGAAGGCATTAAATTGGTTTCAATGGTGGGAAACCTGTAATCCACATCCATCTTGGGAAGCATTTAAAGTAGCAGTGGTACGATGGTTCCAACTGAATATGCTCAAGAATCCCTTTGAAATCTTGATTGGATTATCTCAAAAAGGTACAGTGGAGGAATACATTGAGCAATTCAAACAGAATGCGGGGTTTTTAAAAGGAATAGATCAAGATTATTTGGTGGGTATCTTTCTGAATGGGTTAAAAGATGAAATCAAGGCTGAGGTCAAGCTGTATGACCCTTAAACTCTGGCAGAATTAATGTGTAAGACTCAGTTGGTGGAAGAAAAAATTTTGGTGACATCAAAAGGTGTTTCTTATTCTTTTAATTCTAATGGGAATCGTTCAGCAACTGGTTCTGTGAAGCCTTATACAGTTACTAGAAGTTTAACCAGAGAAAATACTAGTTTAGGAGGATCGGTCAATGATGGAAAAAGTAAATATGCAGATACGGCCAGTGTAGCTAGTAGTAATAGTGGGGGGCCACGTGCTAGAGGGGCTCCTTTCAGGAAGTTATCTAAGACGGAATTACAAGATAAAATCAAGAGAGGTCTTTGTTTTCGGTGTGATGAGAAATATGGTTCGAATCATGTCTGTAGTAATAAACAACTTCATATGTTGTTATTGATTGAGGAAGAAATTTCTGGATTAGAAAACTCTTTAGCGAAATCAGAGATCAATACGGACAGTGTGCAGGAGCCTATTTTGCAGCTATCCTTATGTACGATGGCAGGGTTAACCACTAAGAAGTCGTGGAAAATTTGGGGCAGCATTAGGTCAGAAAAAGTGGTCGTGTTATTGGATTGCGGAGCCTCTCATAATTTCATTTCTTCTAATCTCATTTCTAGAAGTGGGTTACTTCGGGAAGATACACCCTCTTTTGTGGTGGAAGTAGGGGATGGTCACAAGGTTCATTGTCAAGGGAGATGCTCCGGATTTCTTTTGGACTTACAAGGATATCAAGTGCAGCAGCAATTTTATGTTTTTGATTTGAGTGGGACTGATATTGTGTTGGGATTGGAATGGTTATCAAGTTTGGGAGAAGTTAAAGCTGATTTTGGAAGGTTAAGGCTAACTATTGGTAAGGGCAGTACAAAACATATAATATCCGAAGATCCTACATTTTCCAGGTCTCAATCTTCATTGAAAATCTTATGGCACGAATGGAAGGAAGAAGGCTGTTGCTACTTACTCAAATGGGAAGAGACTTTGGAACGTCTTACTACTCCAGAGATTCCTGCAGAAATACTTAAAGTTTTGGCCATCAATGATGAAGTTTTTCAAGAACCCAAAGGCTTGCCACCTAGTCGAAGCCATGACCATTCTATTCACCTACAGCAAGGAGCTTCAATTTCTAATCTTAGACCATATAAATATTCTCATCAGCAGAAGAATGAGATTGAGAGTAGTGCAAGAAATGTTGCAGGCTGGAATCATTAAGCCCAGCATTAGTCCCTTCTCAAGTCCTATAATATTGGTTAAGAAGAAAGATGGGGGTTGGCGTTTTTGTGTCGACTATAGAGCTTTGAATAAGATAACAATTCTTAACAAGTTTCCAATTTCGGCAATTGAGGAATTATTGGATGAGTTGGCAGGGGTAACTATAGTTTCAAAGTTGGACTTGAAATCAGGGTACCACCAAATCCTAATGTGCAAATCTGATGTGGAGAAGATTGTATTCCGAACTCATAAGGGCCATTATGAGTTCTTGGTCATGCCTTTTGGGCTGACTAATGCACCTGTAACCTTCCAGTCTCTTATGAATACCATACTTAAGCCCTATTTGAGGAAATTTGTACTTGTTTTTTTCGACGATATATTGGTGTACAGTTCTAATGTGGAATTACATGAGCAACATTTAAAGGAGGTCCTAAAGGTATTGAATATTCAACAATTGAAGTTGAATAAAAAAAATGCAGTTTTGGTCAGTCTAGCCTAGAGTATTTAGGCCATATTATTTCTGGAAATAGAGTATCAGCGGATTCCAAGAAGATTGAGGCAATGCAAAATTGGCCTATTCCGAAAGATGTGTTAGCGTTACGAGGATTTTTGGGTTTAACAGGATATTATCGACGTTTTGTTCAAGGCTATGGCAAAATAGCTAAACCATTAACACAATTATTGACTAAGGATGTGTTTCATTGGAATAAAGGGGACTGACGATGCTTTTGATCAACTCAAATCAGCTGTCACTCAACTTCCTACATTGGCTGTTCTAGATTTTACTAAACCATTTATTGTGGAAACTGACACATCTAGTAAAGGGTTAGGGGCAGTCCTAATGCAAGAAGGAAGACCATTAACTTTTTGGAGCCAAGCACTGTTAGAAAGGGGTCAGAATAAATCAGTTTATGAAAGGGAACTCATGACTGTGGTTCAGGCCATACATAAATGGAAACATTACTTAATGGGAGGACACTTTATTGTAGTAACTGATCAGAAAAGTTTGCGATTTCTTATTGACCAAAGATTGTTGACTGAGGAGCAGTTTAAATGGGCTTCAAAATTGATTGGATATGATTTTGAGATCCAATATTGTGCAGGAAAGGAAAATACAGTGGCAGATGCATTATCGAGGAAAGGATATTTTTTAGCTTTGTCTACACTCCAAAGTGAGGAATGGGAAGATTGGCAAGAAGAGATGCAGCAAGACTCGAAACTTACTTCCATAATTCAAGACTTGTTAGTGGATTCAACATCCCATAAGGGTTACAAATGGGTAAAAGGCAAACTGTTCTATATGGACAAACTGGTTTTACCACGCTCGGACTCATGTATTCTTGTTATAATTAAAGATTTGTATGAATCTCCATTGGGGGGCACAATGGATCTTTCCGAACATTTAAAAGGGTAGCAGGAGTGGTATATTGGAATGGAATGAAGAAAGACATTAAGGACTTTGTGACCCAATGTGCAGAATGTCAAAGGAATAAATTGGACATGTTGGCTCTAGCGGGGTTACTGCAACCTCTCCCTATACCCACTCAAGTTTGGTCTGATATTTCAATGGACTTTATAGGGGGATTACCTAAAGCTCAAGGGAAAGACACTATATTTGTTGTAGTGGATCGACTTACCAAATATGCTCATTTCTTTTCCTTAGTACATCCTTTTAGTACAGCGGATGTAGCTCAGGTTTTTCTGAAAGAAGTAGTTAAACTTACGGTTTTCCTTCTACAATTATTTCAGATAGGGATCAACTTTTCCTAAGCAAATTCTGGAAGGAATTATTTCGTCAAGCTGGGACCAAATTAAAGTTTAGTACAGCTTACCATCCCCAAACCGATGGCCAGACCGAAGTAGTCAACCGATATCTCGAGACATATCTTTGTTGCATGACAGGAACACAACCTAAGAAATGGCCACAATGGCTTCCATGGCCAGAATTTTGGTTTAATAGCAACTACAATGCTTTCGCCAGAATGACTCCCTTCAAAGCCCTTTATGGTCGTGACCCACCTTTGTTATTGAAAGGATCTACAATTCCTTCAAAGGTTGATAGTGTTAATCAACTATAACAGGAGTGGGATGACATTCTTAAGGAGTTAAAAGCGAACCTAGCTAAGGCCCAAAATCAAAACAAAGTCCAGGCCAGTAAACATTGTAGGGATGTTGAGTATCAAGTTGGAGATTGGGTATATTTGAAGCTACAACCTTATAGGCTTAAATCCTTGGCTAAGCGCCCAAATAAGAAGTTAGCTCCGTGATTTTATGGACCTTACCAGGTGATTGATAGAATTGGACAGGTTGCCTACAAATTGGAGTTACCTCCACACAGTAAAATACATCCAGTATTTCATGTTTCTCTGTTAAAAAAACCATTCAGTCGTCGACATATTCTCAACCATTACCAGTTTCATTAACAGAAGATCATGAATTAATTATGTCACCGACTCAATTACTGGATACACGTACCAACAGTCAAGGGAAGATGGAAGCACTCATCCAATAGAAAGATCTTCCACCAACGGAAAATAGTAGGGAATTAGCTGAAGTCATAGCTAAGGAATTTCCTGCATTTCACCTTGAGGACAAGGTGAAACTTCAGGGGGGGAGTAATGATAGATATAGGTTAGTCTATAAAAGGAGAGAAAAAACGGGTTAATAAACAGTTGACATTGTAACTATTTTTTTAAGCAGAATAGACTTAGTATATAAGTCTATCAGGGAGGGCTGAGGTTTTTAGTTTTCTTTTGGGAGATTTTTTTGGGGATGATCTCTAGTGGTGAGAGAAAGGGAATGACTGGGAAGATTACTTCTAGTTTGTAAAGAGTTTGTAAAGAGCATTGTCAGTACTTTGTGAGGGAATTTTGTCCTACCATATAGATAGGTCAATTCATATCAATAAGAGGTATATTCAGTTTAGTAGAAATATCAGACCTACCACACACACACATGCACAGAGAGAATTCTATTTGGTTAGAACATCCCAATTAAACATCTATGATGAATAGATGGTCAATTTTTTATTGCATTTCTTACTTAGTCACACGTGCACATTCGCATGCATGTACTGAAAGAAAGAGAGAGAGAGAGAGAGAGCTTATTTTAATCTAATATACAATCGTCTTATTTGAATGATTTTTGTTTGGAAGAAAACTGACATATTTTGAAAATCCAAAGCTTGTTATAAGACTATAATTAATTATTTTTATTACCTAAAATTACTACTAATTTTTAACACTGTAAATTACGTAGGTCAGATTGATACTTCCTTACTATTGACTTCCTTATTGGTCTATTCCCAGTCTTTCAGCAATTGCAAATGAAAGGCCTGCATTCTATGGCCGCATCTTGCCAGTTTTGCTCAGTTTGGAACCTTCCAGTTCCGTTGTTAATGGGGTATGTGTATCAGCTGCACATCTGGCTTTGAAGAACGCCTTTCTTACTTGCTCAAAATGTACACATCCAAGTGCTGCTCCGGTAATTCGATTAGAATAAAATGTGTTTAACATGTAGATTGTTTACTCTTAGTGAGAAGTTTTAGTTTTATTGTTTAATTTGTTTTTGGTCCATGTCAATGTTTATAAATTTCTAGGTAGCATGTTTCAAGGTATACTTTTATATTCCTATGAATACTATGATTGTGTGTTTGGTTTAGCTGGCAACAACAACGTCTATAGTGTGTTATCAATGTTTGGTCTATCAATGGGTTTTGCATTGACTAGTTTGGTCTAGCTTATTTTTAGTGAATAATCATATATATTTTAGTGTCTTTGTGTGGGCTAAAAATATCAACATATCTTAGACTATGTTGATATTCAACGTTGTTAATGGTGGAGGTGCAATGCCATTGCCGTCATTGTGTGCTGGATTTTTTACCTAAACCCTATAGGCTCACAAGGGTGCAATGACGTGTTTATGTGACACATTTTTTTATCTTCCACCATATTTTGCCACTGAAAACACGAATTGACATTTTCCTTGAATTAAATGAGTAATAAGTGCATACAGTGTTGTTAAATAGTTGGTATAGTGGTGCTAGTCTTATGCACATCAACAAAATTTCTCAATCTGCGACTGTGATTCTTTAAACAATTCCAACTGCTATCATTGTTGTGGTTTTGGCATTATCCTATATCCTATTGTCATCTTGTTGGAGAGCCTTCGTTTACTAGATATATGGCCATATTAATATAGTGGGTGCAAACTTCAAATTACAAACCAGTTTTGTGAAGTTGAGTTGGGTTTAATTCTAAAATGTATTAGAGTCTATTCAAATAAGTTTTGTTAGGCTTATCGAGCCACTCACTATCAGGTTGCTATCAAACTACCCACAAATATCTATTTCAATCTCGAGATAGCAACCCACAAATATCTATTTCAATCTCAAGATGTCTTGTCATTGTCACGATACTTGCTATCAGGTTGCTCTCAAACTACCCACAAATATCTATTTCAATCTTGAGATGTCTCGTCATTGTCACGAGGAGAATGTTAGAATATGACCAAATTATAGTAAATAAGTAGGTGCAAATCTTACTTTATAAACCAATTTTGAGGTCGAATTAGGCTTAAAGTTTACTTTGTAAGACATCTGTTGTGAGTCTTGAGCCAATTGAACTTTAGTTGATATTCTATAAATTAACTTGTTCAAATAGGTTAACTTTCTTATCTAAAAGCAGTTTTACTCATTAGCATTTGGCACCTAGGAATAGCCTTTTACATTTACACTCTTTATAATTCTTATGTACCTTTTACTATAAATATATGAATCTACTAAGAGATAAATCTAATCTCTTAAGCTCTTTTCTCAAATTCTAGTCACAAGTTGGTATCAACATTCACTTGTTTTTTCTTTGACGAACATAGGTATAGTTTGTCTCATCAAATCACGACAAGTCCTCTACATTCAAGTTTCTTTTGTCATTGTCCACCGTTGTCATTTCCTTTGGGAAGGACTGAGTCTAGACCGTCTCACAACACAATAGCTAACCCACTTGGTCATCGAGCTCAATCCTATCTGTGTGATCTTTGTTTGATACTCCTAGTCACTAGACAACCATGTGCCACATTCTGCCCATCAAAACACTGTTGTGCTTCCTCTATAGTTGTTGCCAGTCCTCCTAGTCTCGGTTTGCTTTGCTCTTGGCACCTCAAAGTTGGCTCTATTTTATGGTTGTGATCCGTTGGTTCTTGCTTATTATAGACACTTAAAAGTGCTTTTGGTTGTTGCTTTTTGTTTTGCTCATTGCTGATTGCTAGACAATGCTTACATATATTTTGGTCACTCCATTCCGAAAAACTTAACAGAAAATATTATCTTAGTTTGGCTCAGTCGAACTTTGGTTCCTTGGCAAAGGCTTCACTTGAGAAAAATATATTGAGGAAAAGTTCATGTGTCACTCATTGATTTGTTGTATTTAGATATAGACTGAACGGTCTTTACGTCCTTTAAACCGTAAATTTTTTCTACCTAGTCCTTGAATGTCAAAAAAATAAATAAAAATACCTTAAAGTTATTTTCATATATCACATTCGTGTTTTACTTCAAATAGGTCTCTTGTGTATTATCATTAAACTGCAATTTAGTCCGTATATGTATGTGTTGAAAGTCCCACATTGCCTACCTCATGTCATTTGGTATGGTTTAAATACATATTAGGCTACTCCACGTATTGCCAATTGGTTTTATGTTGGAACCTTAACATGGTATCAGAGCCAAAGCCTAACATCTTTCCGGTTATTGTCATGGGCCAAAAGTTGCCCTTTAGTTGGGTCAAAAGTACCCTTTGCCTGGTCCGGCAGGCTTCGTTGGAGGGGGTGTGTTGAAAGTCCCACATTGCCTACCTCATGTCATTTGGTATGGTTTAAATACATGTTAGGCTACTCCACGTATTGCCAATTGGTTTTATGTTGGAACCTTAACAGTATGAATTAAATTTTATTTAATAATAAAATAGAGAGATGAAATTTCATTTTAATGATAAAATATAGGGACTTACTTGAAATGAAAAATGATTGAGACATTGAAGCTACTTTCAAGGACTTTATTTTAATTTATTTAAATTCCAAGATAAATTATGGATTTATAAAACCAATTTATCTAATTCCTTTGAGTAGCCTAACATAAAACCAATTCCAATTGGTTTTATGTTGGAACTTCTTCGTGTTCCAACTCTCAAAGGAAAAAATAATTAAAAACTTGTTGAATCTTCTGTTATGATTTCTACTTGTGGGAAAGGAAGTCATGGCACTAAAGGAGGACGTGGAGGTAAAGGACGTCCTTAGTGCACTCATTACAAGAGAATGGGTCATACCCTGGAAAATTACTACTCTTTGCACGGTTTTCTTGACAAAACTGTCAATTTTTCCAAATCTGAAATAGTTGAACCCAAGTTCTCTCACGAAGAATATCAAGAATATTTGAGGTTGAAATCTAGTAATCTAGCACAATCATCAACAATCCCAAATTCATTAACAGCTTGCATTTCACAATCTGTGGAAAGTCAAAATCCATGGATTATTGACTCAGGTGCTTCTGATCACATGTTTGGTAATACCTCTTTGTTCTCTTCTCTCATTTCCTAAAACTCCTCATCTCATAACCTTAGCCAACAGATCTAAAGTAGCCTCTAAAGGAACTGGTCAAGTCTCTATTTCTCCATCTTTAAACTTAAAATTTGTTCTTTTTGTTTCTTCATGTCCCTTCAGTCTCATTTTCCTAAGTCAATTAACCAAATTATTGAATTGTTCAGTAATCTTTAATGCCAACTCTTTTGTTATACAGGAACGTGGTACGGGTCGACAGATTGGCGAAAGACATGAATCTGGAAACTTATACTACCTTGGGAATAAATCATTTGTATCTTGTGTTGTATCCTTGTCTCCAAAACTATTACACGAACGTTTAGGGCACCCTCACTTGTCAAGATTAAAAAAAATGGTTCTTGAACTTCATACTCTTCAAGATTTTGAATGTGAATCATGTCAACTAGGGAAACATACTAGGTTCTCTTTTTCTAAATGTTCTAAATCTAGATGTGACTTTGTCTTTTCTTTTGTTCATTCTGATATTTGGGGTACTAGTCGTGTCTCATCCTTTGGCTATAAATATTTTGTTATCTTCATTGATGAATTTTCTAGGTGTACTTGAATTTATCTAATGAAAGACCGTTCTGAATTATTACCTATCTTTAAGTCATTCCTTAACGAAATCAAAAATCAATTTGGAAAAGTAATCAAAGTTTTACGAAGTGATAATGTCAAAGAATACTTTTCTACTGATTTCTCCACTCTCTTAAGTTCCCAAGGCATTTTACACCACCAGTCTACTTGTCCTCACACACCACAGCAAAATGATATAGCAGAACGAAAAAATAGACATTTGGTTGAAATTGCTCATACCTTATTACTTGGTGCAAATATGCTTGTTCATCATTGGGGAGATGCTATTCTTACTGCATGTTTTCTCATTAACGGAATGTCATCTTCTTCTCTTGACAATAAAGTTCCACACTCTATTCTATTGCCAAAGGAGCCACTCTTTCATGTTTCTCGTCGTGTATTTGGTTGCGTATGTTTTATTCATGATATGTCTCCAGGTTTAGATAAACTATTAGCTAGAGCCATCAAATGTGTCTTCTTGGGATATTCTCGTCTTTAAAAAGGATATCGATGTTATTCTCCTGAAACCAAGAGGTACTACATGTCTGTTAATGTCAATTTTTTTGAATCAACTCCCTTCTTCCCTTCTTCTATGTAGGATATTAGTTCGGTCCAAAATGTCCTACCTATATCCTTGGTGGAGCCATTTGTACCTCCTCCTCCTAACACCCAAAATTCCACACAAAATACACCAGAATCCTCATTACTGCCTCTTATTACCTATCAACACATGAGTCAAATGATTAGTCTCATGTCCCAAGATGAGTCTTCCTCAGCAGATCGTTCTCAATCATCTCCTGATATACGATTCCTAATAATGATGACTCAAGTTGCTCCATTGCCATTCGCAAAGGTACTCACTCTATTCGTAATCCACATCCCATTTACAATTTTCTTAGCTACCATAGATTGTCTCCTTCCTATTTTTCTTTTGTTTTTTCTGTATCCACTATTACTATTCCAAAAAATGTGAAAGAGGCACTTGATCATCTTGGATGGCGACAAACCATGATTGATGAAATGCAGGCTCTTGAGCATAATGATATATGGAACTTTCTTCCACTTGGGAAGAAGACTGTTGGTTATCGTTGGGTCTATGTCATTAAAGTTGGACCAAAAGGTGAAGTTGATCGACTCAAAGCTAGATTAGTAGCAAAATGTTACACTTAGATCTATGACCTTGACTACAGTGATACTTTTTCTCCTGTGGCCAAAATGACTACTGTTCGACTTTTCTTTGATATGGCAGCTATCTGTCATTGGCCTCTTCATCAGTTAGTTATCAAGAATGCTTTCTTACATGGTGATCTTGAAGAGGAAATTTACATGGAGCAACCTCCTGGTTTTGTTGCTCAGGGGGAGTCTAGTTTGGTTTGTAAGTTACATCGTTCTCTTTATGGTCTCCAACAATCTCCATGTGCTTGGTTTGGAAAGTTTAGTCACATTGTTCAAAGTTTTGGACTAAAACAAAGTGAAGCAAATCATTCTGTTTTTTTATTATACTGTTTCAGGAAAATGTGTTTATTTAATTGTATATGTGGATGATATAGTCATTATAGGGGATGATGTTGATAAAATTTCTCTGCTAAAGAAACATTTATACTATCACTTCCAAACTAAGGATCTTGGTTGTTTCAAATAGATTTAAGTGGCTAAATCAAAAGAAGGCATCGTAGTCTCCCAAAGAAAGTATGCTTTAGATATCTTGAAAGGAACAGACATGATTGATTGTAGACCAGTAGACAGCCTTATGGATCCAAATCAGAAATTAATGGCAGATCAGGGTGAACCACTCTCTGATCATGAGAGATATAGAAGACTTGTTGGGAAACTCATTTATCTCACCATTACCAGACCTGACCTATTTTTTGTCGTTGGAGTTGTCAGTCAGTTTATGCAAAATCCGTGTATTGATCATTGGAATGTTGTTGTTCATATCCTAAAATATCTCAAAAAGGCTCCAGGACAAGGTTTGTTGTATGAAGATAAAGGGGGTACCCAAATATCTGGGTATTGTGATGCTGATTGGGCTGGATTCCCTATGGACAGACATTCCACTACAGGATATTGTGTTCTCATTGGAGACAATATTATTTCTTGGAAAAGCAAGAAACAAAATGTAGTGGCTCAGTCTAGTGCTGAAGCTGAATATAGAGCAATGACATCTCTCACTTGTGAACTAGTGTGGGTGAAACAATTCCTTCAAGAACTGAAATTTTGGGAGATCCAACAGATGAAGATGTATCGTGACAATCAAGGAGCTCTCCACATTGCCTCTAATCCGGTGTTCCATGAGAGGACCAAACATATAGAACTTGATTGTCATTTTATTCGTGAAAAATTGTTGTCTAAAGAAATTTGCAATGAATTTGTCGGGTCCAATGATCAACTTGCAAATGTGTTGACAAAGTCTTTAAGAGAACCTCGAGTTGAATTTATTTGTTCCAAGTTTGGCACATACAATTTGTATGCTCGGGGGGAGTGTTAAAATTATTATTAGGTAGTGGTTAGTGGTTAGTAGTTGGTGGTTGGTAGTTGTTGTTTTAAATGTTATAATCCTATATATATATATATATATATATATATATATATATATATATATGAGATCATAAAGTGTAGAGTGGTATCCCACTGAATTATAAATCTTCTTTTTACTCTCTTAACTGAGTCAATATGAAAAGTTTTCTGATTACCACAATACAACTTCATGAGCTTATTCTTACAAAATTCCAACTCTTGAAGTTGTTTAATCCACACAAGCTCACAATTGGTTAAGGCTGTAAATCTATATCAGCTTCTACATTGGATCATGCAAACAACACTCTGTTTCTTATACTTTGAAGAAATTATATTCCCTTCAATTAATACACAATATCTTGTAGTAGATCTCTTATCAATAGGATAACCAACTCAATCTTCATCACAATACCTTAAGATTTGAGTATTTCCTTTGTCCTTATACAACAATCTTTGTCTTGAATCCCTTTTTACATATTTGAGTATGCAAATCAAAGCATTTCAATGATCAATGCGACGATTTTATGCAAAATCAGGTTTTGTAATTGTGAGATAAATGAGTTTTTCCACCAACCTCTTACATATCTCTAGATCTAGGAAAATTTCACCTTTGTCTCTAGTTAATTTTTGATTTGGATCCATTGAACTATCAATTTGTCTATCAAGAGAATATTTCATTTGTGAAATGATAACATGCCACTACAATACCTTAGATAGCCAAGATATTTGTTCTGAAAGAGACCAAGGTATTTTTTTTTAATTGAGTAATCTTAGTGAAATCGTTACTTGTGATAGTAATATCATCAATATAAACTAGAAGATAAACATTTCCTAGAGGAAGTATGACAATAAAATATTGAATAATTTGCCTTAATTTGTTTTAAGCCAAAAATATGCATGTGACTAAATTTACCAAACTAATCCCAGGGTGAAAGAGACTAATGTAGTTTACACACTAAACTAGACTCTTCTTGAGTAGCAAACTAAGGTGGTTGCTCCATGTAAATCTATTCCAAGGTCATCATGAAAAAATACATTTTTAAGTTAATTTGGTGAAGTGGACAGTGATGAATAATGACCATGGCAAGGAAGAGTCAAACAATGATAATCTTAGTCATAGGAGAAAAAAGTATCACAGTCGATTCCATAAACTTGAGTATAACTCTTGGCTATTAAACGAGCTTTTAGATGACTGCTTCACCATTAGGACTATCCTTAATTGCATAAATCCATCTACGGACTATCCTTAACTACATACCATCTATAATCCACAATCTTCTTTATAGGAGGAAATTTTCTAAGTGTCATTTTGTTCAAGAGTCTGGACTTCATCAATCATGGGTTGTCACCATCTAGGGTGATCAAATGCCTCATGAAAATTTTTAGGAATAGAAGTGGCGAACAAAGAGAAAAAAGAAGAAGGATATGAAGGAGACAAATGATGGTAACATAAAAATTTATAAATAAGAAAAGGGTTATGAGTCAAACAATACCTTTCCTAAAAGCAATAGGGCAGTTAAAATTATTGTCAAAAGAAGATGATGAGGATGAAGAATACATGGTATGAGACTCAAGTGGAGGAGATTTGAATCATGAGGATTTTCAAGAACATATAAAAGAGTAGTTTGGGTCCTATTTTGATATGTGAGAAGGGGTGGATTAATGCCATCTATAGTTGGAGTTTGAAATGGAGAGAGAGTAAGAATTAATTGTGGATCATGTTAAGGTATAGGGAGAACCTATTTAATAGAAGTAGAATTTTCCATGAGATGGAAGGTGTGTCCTCAAAGGTCATATTAGAAAAAATGTAATACCTTTTGGTTGAAGGAGAATAACATTTGTACATTTTCTGAAGACGAGAATATATCGAAAAACACACTTAATGGACTTCGCATTGAGTTTGTCAAGACATGGAGAGACATTATAAACAAAACAAAGTACATCCAAATACACTTAGAGAAACATGGTATAAAGGATCATTCGAAAAGATAATAGAATGAGGAATTTTATTCTCAAGAGAGAAAGTGGGCATTCTATAGATTAGAAAATAAGTAGGGAGGATTACATCTCCCCAATGATGAATGTTGTGGGGTGTGAGTACGTGTGGATTGGTAAAATACCTTGGAAAGATAAAAATGAGGAAAATGTAATAGAAAAATAATCTTTTAGCATTCTCATTTCTAAGAATTTTAATTATCTTCCCAAATTGATTCTTAATCTCATAGAGAGAAAGACAAATATGGAGAAAAGTTTAGATCTCTCTCATTAAGATTCAACTGCATTTGGAAAATTCATCAATAAAAGTTATAAAATATCTAAAACCAAAAGAGGTTTCACGACTTAGTCCCCAAATATTAGAATTACATTGTGGTTAGATTGTTTATGAAATGAAGATCTAACATGCTTTCCTAATTAACAAGATTCACATTTTAGAACTTGAAGTTGTTGAGATTAGAACCATCATCTTCAATTTTGATAAACTTGGATAGTCCAAACAATTATGCAAATGTTTTGGGGTTGGAGTTGTAAAACAAGACACAAAGGGGCTTAGTTTCAAGGAATAAAGACTTCATGATTCATGTCCTTCTCTAATCAAGCGACCTGTACCGCGTTCCAATATAACATAGGAATTAAAATTAAAAGTTATAGAACAATTCAATGACTAAGTCAATTGACTTAGAGAAATCAAGTTATAAGGACAATGAGGAATGAACAATACAAAATGTAAATTTAGTGAAGGAGATAAAAAAAAATGGGCCAACGGGCCAACTCCTTTAGATGTCTCTTTGAGTCCGTTAGCAATAGTAAGCATGTGAGGAATTTTACATTAAGACATGAAGGAAAATGAAGGTTGTTACTAGAGATATGATATGAGGCACTTGAATCAAGAATATGTGGATTGTGATCTTCCACAAATTGAGAAATACATGTTGATACACTTGACATTGAAGAATAATGACCTTGAAGATTAGTTTTCTTAGATTTGAACCTAAAAATCTTTGGTACTCTTCATGAAAAATTGAGACCTGATTTTTCAATTTAGACACATGAACAACTTTGTTAGGGAATCCATGCAATAAATAAGGCTTTTTTTTCATATGACTCATTCTTTGCAATATGAGAACTGAGGACATCTACTTCTACTACCATGTCCTTCTCAAATATTGCTACCTTTTCATCATTCACAAGGCATTACCATTTTTGAAGTTTCAATAGCTTTAGCTTGATTCTAATCCTTCATTAAGTTGGGTACACATATGACTCTAGTGATTAAACTATCCATTGAAGGAATTTGATCACCAACTAAAATTTGATTACATACATTAACAAAATCTGAATGTAGACTTCTCATAATTAGGGACATAAGCAATTTATTTAATTTCTTGTTGAAGTCCTCCAATGTGTTGGCCACTATAAATCTTTTAACATCTTTTATAGCTCTAGCTTTTGTAGAATTTGAGACCATATCATTGGTTGCATGAAAGAGACCCTAAATATCATTTGCAAAAATATCTTGTGCTTTCTTAACATGTCTTGAAATATCTCAGAATCTCTAGTACCTCATGCTTAATTGATTCCCATAAAACAACACATAGTTTGCAGTCAACCTTTTCTATCGGAAATAGTCATGATTTCTTTAACTAAGAAACCACAACTCGAAAGACCAAGACAAATAATTTTACTAGTTGAGTTTGACACTTATAATAGCAAGAGTAGCCAAAAATGATGGGACAAAGCTTGTTGAAGTCGTCTCGAAAATAAGGAAGGGACAACTAAATTTAAGAATACAAGATAGAAAACCATAATCCATGAGGAGAAGCACTCGACCCAATGATGGATGGTTGTTGGATATAGGGATAGGGACAACCCAATGATAGAGGAGGCCGAAGTGGGATTGTACCCCCTCTAATATCAACTTGAGAAATATTATATTGAGATAAAATCCATGTATTACTCATTAATGTGTTGTATTTATATATAGGAGAGTACAAAAGAAGGGTAAAGGCTCTTGCGTAAACCCTAACCCTAAATACAAGTACATAAATAAGAAATTCAAAAATAAAATATTACAAGCAAAGTACCATTAGATAAAGCTGAAGAGTGGTGTGATGGAAAATCGAATTTAAGCTTTGTGCCTTGTTGTGACAATCTGTGAATGTTCTTATTCGCATTCTAAGATATCTTAAGAAGGTTTCAGGACAAGTTTTGTTATATAAAAAGAAGGGACATACTCATATGCATGGTTATCAAACCCTAGGGTTAACTCGTAAACCCTTTTGTCATTTATGAGTGAGCTATTATCCCACGAGTTAACTCGTGGGTAGACTCGATTCTAAGCAAACTTGGTAGACTTGTGTGTAGAAAACGCCACTTACCTGGATCGTTTGGTCATGTTTTGAATGTTAGATAGGGCTTGTCTTGTTTGGAAGTGTGGATTTGTGTTTTTGTGCCTCAATTTGTTGTCCCTATTCATGCAACTTGTGGAAGTTCGTCGTCACTGCTAGTCCCACTCGTCATTGGTGGCATTGTTGTTCGCACGTACCTTTGTTTGTCGTCGTTCTTATTCATGGTCATCTTCGTTATTGTACATCTCCACTGTTGTTTGTGTGCATCTCTAATCATTGTCGCTATTGTTTTCCAAACCCTTTCTATTTTGTTGGGCATCAATTTTTTTTAACCTATTTAGCCTTTTTCCTTTTTTTTTATAGTGATTATTCTATATGTAAAGGTTGAAATTTTAAAATTTCCACAAGTGTTTCAAATTCTTCTAAAGCCAATGTAACTAGATCCTCACTTCATCTGAAGTAAAAATGCACTAGGAAATAGGACAAATGTTGGGTGAAGACATGAAGTAGATATTTTAGACAATGAAAAAAAAATGAAATATAATTATTGCTCATAAATATTCAATGGAGGAATTTTTTGTTAAATTGATATTTTCTATATGAAATAGACTCTTACGAGTCTACGGACGAGCCACGAGTTTATCTAAACTCTCGCTTGCTCATATGTCTAGGTATTGTGATATTGATTGAACAAGTATAAATAGATGCTGCACTATTGTAATTTTATTTCATGGAAAAGTAAAAAGCAAAATGTTGTTGTTTGATCTAGTGGCAAAGTCGAATATGGAGAAATGACATCTCTCACTTGTGAACTTATATGAATTAAGCAATTCCTCTATGAGCTAATGTTTTGTGAAATTGAAGTAGTGAGAATTTAATGCAATAATGAGAAACTATTCGCATTGCTTCCAATGTTGTATTTAATGAGAGAACTGAATACAAAGATTTCCTGCCATTTTGTTCGGAGAGAAATTATTGAACAAGGAAATCTACACAACATTTGTCAGTTGCAATGATCAGCTTATATGTTCCAAGTTGTGTACACAAACTTTGTATTCTCCAGCTTAAGAAGAAATGGTAGAATAGTAGTTGTATTTGTTTACTTGTTCAGATAAGTTAATTATCTAAAAGTTGTTACATTGATTAGCTTCTAGCACCTCAGAATAGCCTTTTTCATTTACACTCTTTGTAATTCTGATGTACCATTTACTATATATGTATGAATCAGCTAAGAGATAAATCTAATCTCGTAAGCTCTTTTCTCATATTATAGTCTCAAGTGATACTATACCAATTTTTATGTGTTTTATTTTAATGCTCATTCAACTTACTTTATATATATATATATATATATATATATATATATATATATATATATATATATATATATATATATATCACATCTTTAAACCGTAATTTCCTCTATGCAATTGATAAACACTGGTGCATATACTCAAGACATTTGGTCGGATATGGTGATCTTATGGAAAACTAACTATTTAATTTGTGGTAGTGGAGGGATCGTTTGGCAGGGGCCTTGAAAGAAATGCAATCAGAAGGAAAGGCAGATCGGGTGTTCCACCTAATATCTGCTAGTAATGGAAGCATGGAGAGAGAGAAGGATGATCAACCTGTTATCAAAGTATGCACCATGTCTTCTGTAGATGTTTATTTATTTAATTATTATTAATTATTGTTCTGTTGCTTACATATTTGCGCTTTGAACATGTAAATGATGAGGTTGTGTAGGCTGGATGAAATAGTAGCTGTATGCCTACATATAGATAGACAATTGAATTCATACTTCAATTTTCTTTTATTTTTATTTTTTTATGTTTTTTTTACAGAAGACATAGATGTACTCAGTTTCAAAAGCTTCTGTTTTAGAGAATGGGTTTTGTTCATAATTTTTGTTGCTTTAGAAAATTTAGATGACATTAATTATTTATTTCCAACTTATCAATCTCGTGGTATCTCCTATAATTAGAATGAAAAGAAAGGCATTAATGGAGTTAATCTTCATATGCGACAAAACTGTCCGAGTTTCACACTGTTTGGTGACAAATTTTCCTGTCCGATGGCACTACTGTAAATTTCTTGTAAAACATAATCAGTTGGAGTTGGAGCCCATTTTTTTCCCCATGCATTTACAGAGGTTACCTATCTCTTGTATTTCTCATGATGGAGGGCATTAATCATTTTCTGACGGTTAAGAATCCCAAGTTAGGTAGATATATATGGCCAAAATACTTTGAACAGTCCTTTATGTCGAGCTAGCTTTTAGAACTGAGTTGTTAGACTTTGTTCATTTTCAATTTTAATTTGATATTAGATTTTATCCTTGTTGGAGCCACCACTGCAAATGTCTAGTCTTGAATATTAACTAATGTCCAGTCTTGAGCATGACAGAGGTGTCCCTAGATTCCATGTTGGCTGGGAATATGGCTGATGTACTACTTATAATGACTTGGCCGATCCCCCTCACTCGAGTATGCTTTTGGAGTTGTGTCCTGTCCATTCTCAATTATTATATTTCCAATAGTGTGTAATTAAATCCAATGATGTTATATTGCATAAATTGAAGCAATTTTACTGCTTTATTAATTTAATCTTTGTTTCTACCATACCCGAATATTTTGAAATATGAGCAAATGTTGAAGTGCCAAAGAGTTGGAATTGTGGTTTCAATAACACAAATGGTTTAGTTAGTTGCATGGATTATTGCGGATCAAAAGAAATATTTTTCAATAGCATTTAATACTGGTAGGACATCATGGTATTGCTCTTCGAGTGTTGCTTATCATTTTTTTCTTTTCAGGAAGATGAATCTACAATAAATTATGATGATTCAGTACACAGTAATTTGGCAAGAAAACGATCTGGGTCGCAAATTGGAGGTGATTTAGGTGAAGATGTTCCTGGAAAACGTGTCAGGACAAGAATTGATGATTTGGAAGAACCTAAGAAAGAGTTGGATGAACATACCACTTCCAACTCTCAGGATGAGACTCCTTCAACTTTACTAGCATCTTCTAAAGGAGATGTGGATAATGGGCCTGTCCAGCAACTTGTTGCCACATTTGGTGCTTTGATTGCTCAAGGTGAAAAAGCTATCGGACATCTTGAGATTCTCATCTCAAGTATTTCCGCTGACTTGCTAGCTGAGGTGGTGATGGCAAATATGCAAAACTTACCTCCAAATTACCCTAATACTGAAGGAAATATACAGCTACAAGACATTAGTATGATTGGTTCTGATGACAGGGCTAAATATCCACCATCATTTGTAGCTGCTGTTATGTCACTTTCTAGTACTTTCCCACCAATAGCTTCCCTTCTTGATGCACATCAATCAATGTCCAATGAGGTTGAGGTATAATTATTAATTAATTTATCTGGTATTTTTTTTGGTTTTAGGCCTTCCCTTGTTTTTCAATTACTACCAATCTCTTTAATTTTAATGCTTTAACCTGTCTATTTTTTATAGCATATTTCTGAGAATTGTCTTTTGATAAAACTTTGATATACACAAATATTGCAGAAGTCACAAGGGGAGGAAGAAATTTCTACAACTGCTGTAAACAGTGGTGCAGTTCATTCTGGCACGAATCTTGTATCTGAAAATGTACCATCGCCTACTGATTTTCCATCTTCTGATGCTAGTATACCTGGAGTAGAGAATGACTGTACAACTATGCCTCCTGACATCCATGATGTTGGAAACTCAGAGAGTGGAATTCCTGGCCTGGATTCTTTTAGTCGTAGTGATGCCTTGTCACAAACTTTTGCTCCTTCCTTATTGGCTTCCACTGAAATGTCCCTAGAAGATGGAAGCCAAGATCAAGATACAAGTTTGGATCAGAGGTCACCCCTGAACTTAGCCCCATCAATATCAACTGATAGATCTGAGGAGCTAAGCCCAAAAGCGGCTGTTAGAGATGTCAGTAGCTTGGTGTCATCAACAGCTACTTCAGTTGTGTTGCCTCCCCGTTTAGTCTTGCCAAAGATGACTGCTCCTGTTGTTGAACTTGAAGATGAACAAAAGGATAATTTGCAAAAATCATGTTTTATGCGTATTATTGATGCATATAAGCAAATAGCTGTAGCTGGTGGCTCCAAAGTTCGTTCTTCGATTCTTGCTTATTTAGGAGTTGAGGTGAAAATCTTATCTTGAAATTTTCCAGTTTTATATTTCAGTTGCATAATAACGAATAGTTAGGTGCTGTGTGTAGAAATTTTTATTTCTTTAGAAGCATGGAAGATCTATTAGGTATTCTATAACTGCTGCCTGTTGATAAATTTTACATTGAGTTTAATTTCTGAAGCCCCCTTCTCTTGTAGGTACTTTTAGAGGAAACAACGATGATCTCCTGTAGGTTTTCTGATATGATATTCACCTGCGTTTGTTCATTTAGTTTCAGAAATTACGCAAATCTGTCCTTTACATCTCATCTGAGGCATAACTAATTTTTTTCAAATGGGTATACCCCGCGTTTTGTAGCCTTCTTTCTTAAGCTAGACAGGGTGGTGGGTGATATATGAGCGAACTTCTATGGAGAGATCATTGAAATTGTGGCTAATTGCTTACAATAGTCTTTCTATTTTTTTACGATATTAGCTTAGAGCCATGAGAAATTGAGAATATGTGATCATGAGACATCTTTCTCTAGTTTCTATGTTTATATAATACAAATAGAATTAATCATGATTTATGATTGCCTCAAGCTTTTACTGTAATAGATTACCATGATGTACCAATTTAAATATTAAATGCTTCCATGTTACCTTGTCTTACAGTTTTCATATCAATGAATCTGGATCTAACTGTTTAGTGCATTGTTATTGTTCATATTTGACTTTTGATGTTGCTTCCCATCAATTATCCTTTTTCTCTTCCGATTCTTAAATGCTTTCAGCTTATGTAATTCAGACATTCTTAAAATCCCAAAATCATGGCGTTCTTCTAACCGTATGCGTGTGTGTATATTTGCTTACAGCCACTTTGTAATTACCATGACTCCTCTTTCTGTTCATGCAGTTTCCCTTGGAATTAGACCCATGGAAACTATTACAGCAGCACATTTTGATTGATTACACTAGTCATGAGGTGCGCTCTTGTCTCAAATTTTACTGCTTCTGTGTCAATTTTTTTAACTTATTTGCTTTGACATTGTTAAATTATGAAGAAGAGAAGCATTGAGCTCAAACCGGGTGTTTTTGTGACAGCATAAGTGATTTTTTTTATATTGAAAAAGAAACCAATACAATAAATAAAGGAGATTTGATATCCTCTAATAATAAAGATATAATCTAGATATGATCTTGATATCTGTAATAATAAATATATTATTATTTCCCTAATTATAACACTTCTCCTCAGGCTGAAGCATATAATTTAAATGTGCTCAACTTGCTACAAATGTGATTGATCTTTGGTTTTCTTAGAGATTTAGTCAATATGTCAGCCTGCTGTCCACTAGAGTTAACAAATATAGTAGTGATATCTCTAAATTTCAACTTTTCTCTTATTAAAGGACAATCTATCTCAATATGTTCAGTTCTTTCATGAAAGACAGGATTAGAGGCAATGTGTAAAGCTGCTTGGTTGTTACATATAATGTGCATTTAGGAATTTTCTTCAAATTTAAGCTCTTTGAGAAGTTGCTTTAGCCATATGAGCCACATGTGTATTTTCTACTTTTTCACTTGATCTTGTCGCAACATTTTGTTTGTTACTTTTCCAAGATATGAAATTTCCCCCATCAAGAACACAACATCATGAAGTACACTGTCTATCACTTTGCGCCTGCCTAGTCAGCATCAAAATGTTCAATGTTTGAGTATTTCCCATATCTTCATAAATAAGGCCTTTGCCAGCATTCTTAATATATCTTAGAATTTGTACAACTGCATCCCAATGGTCTTGACCAGGAGAGTTCAATAATTGACTAACTAGCTTACCAACTAGCTTTCTGTATCTCCTAGGATTTGGATACAAATCTTTGATTTGGTACCAGTTTGATACTTGGATCTATTAGTGTGTGCACTGACTTAGGCATTTGACAGAACATCAAGGGTATATTTCCTCTGGGACCAAAGCACCCTTGGAATGAACAATTTTTATATCAAGGAAATACCGCAGTTGTCCAAGATCTTTTGTTTGAAAATGCTGAGCAAAATAATGGTTTAGATCATTACTTGTGATAACAATGTCATCTACATATACAATAAGGTAGACACATTCCTTTTTCTAGCACATCCAATTATCTTCCCCAATTCCTTGTCGTGACATACACAACAGTAATTGTAAAAATAACAATGCAAGATATGTCATTTGTAAGTTTTTTAATGGAGACAAGATCTGTAGAGAACTTTGAACTGGAAGAACATTTCTTAGGGTTATGAACATTTGGATCTTTCCTATACCAGTTACTGTTACCGGAATGTCATCAGTAGTGCCAATTTTTTTTATTAATGGGACATGGAGAATAGTTGGAGAAGAAATTAGATGAGGGGGTCATGTGGTCTGTGGCTCTAGAGCCTAAAACCCAAAGGGATGGAAGTGAAAGATGAATTGTTACTGAGACATTAAATCGGTATTAAAGAGGAAGCACACTTGAATATGTCTAACCACAAGTACTTGTTGGTTTTTCAAGGCTGCCAAAAAAAGCTTTCGTTCTTTCTATCTCTTCCTACTAAGGCTAGAAGGTTTCAACAAGCTAGAAGAATTTGCTTTTTCTTCATTTTCTTTTTCAGCCACATAGACCTATCCTCGTTTTCAAGATGCTCCTTCAGTTGTTCTCCTTTGTGTCCTAATTCACAATTGCATGGTTTTCCATGCAATTTCCAGCATTTCTCCCCAGTATGCCATGGCCTATTACAATGAGTGTTTTTGCATTTTCAACAATCATTATCGAGCTTTTAACAGTTGGAGAATCAAGCATCAAATTACTCCTACTTTCTTCACTCCATATAATGGTAACTATTTCACTAAAGCTCGGGACTTCTGATTTTCCAAGTACTTGGATTCTGACTTGATCAAACCTAGAATTTAATCCTACAAGAAAATCATAGATCCTGTCTGTCAATAAATTCCTTCAAAACAGAATCATCTTCAGCATAATCAGTCTCAATTACTTTATAATGATCTAATTCTAACCAAAATGACTTTAGGTTGTTAGCATATTTAGTGACAAATTTGTTTCCCTGTTTAGCAGCTACTGTTTTTTACCTTTACATCATACACTTGAGCTTTATCCTTGAAATAGGTTTTGGTCAATTGCATCCCTGTTTTGTTGTGCTGAGATAATGCTATCACTAATCGCTTTACTCATAAAATTCCATAGCCAAGCAATAATCAATGAATCTTCCTTACCTCATGCAGTACAATTTGGGTCTCCCTCATTTGGTTCAGCACCATTCAAGTGGCTGTTTTCCCCTCTTCCTTTCAGTATTGTGTGAAAAAGTATGAGCATTTCAAATAACTTTTTCAATTCAACCTATAGCATGTTGAATGCCCTGCAAATATCCATATTGCTTAGTTTGAGGTGGATGCACAACCTCCCCTTCTGTATAAAAAAATTGCCGGAAAGTCACTGTAAAGCACCGGAATGTTGTCAGGAAGTTGCCAGAAAGTTGCTGGAAAGTCACTGGAGTTCAAGAGCCTAGTCAAATATTCTGCAAAACTTTGTTTGCAGAAGCAAAGTGGACATAGATAGGGAGCATTGATACCATGATAAAAGACAGAAACAAAGTTTGAGTTGCTTGGGTTGAGTTTCCACCCAGCATACTGATCTATGTATAATCAAAAGGGTTATATAGGTAACAAATAGGTTCAGCTATTTTCATGAGAACAATTGAACAATCACAATTTCCTAAGATACATTGAACCTAGTTAAGTACTTGGAAATATAAAAGAAAATGAATTGCTCCTATTTCCAACAACAGTACGTGTTATCCTGTAAGTATAATGGACACTGTTGTTTATCAAGCTAAATCATGTCTGAGGAAAGAGTATAAATATCTTGTAGTTGGAGATCTAATATTTTATAGATTTGTTTATCCAGTTAATGTATCTTGTAGATGGACATCTAATATCTTACAGATTTGATGGACACTGCTGACAATGATTACCTAATGTCTCAGGGACATGAGTTGACATTGCGTGTCCTCTACAGATTATTTGGTGAGGCTGAAGAGGAGCCTGACTTCTTTTCTTCCACAACTGCAGCTTCTGTATATGAAAAATTCCTCCTTACAGTGGTCTGTGCTTTTTTTTTTCTTGATTCTTTTGTGTCCATCTGCGAGGCACGAGTTGAGATTTTGATTCACTTCAAATGCAGGCAGAAGCACTTAGAGATTCCTTTCCACCTTCAGATAAATCATTAAGTAAATTGCTTGGTGAATCTCCGTACTTATCAAAATCAGTTCTGAAAATTTTAGAAAACATGTGTTCTCCTGGAAATGGGGATAGAGGTGAAAAGGATCTACACTCACTGAATGCGGATAGAGTTACTCAAGGTCTAAGTGCGGTATGGAGTTTGATTCTTCTAAGACCTCCCATTCGAGATACTTGCTTACAAATTGCTCTACAGGTTTTTCTCACCTACTTTTGTTATACAAACTTTCATGTTATTTGTTTAGTTGTTGTTGGTCATAATTCCTTCATCCCCATCCATTTTCTTTCTTCATATGTTTAATTAAACTTTAATAGGGTGGTTTAATGATAATTTTCCCTTGCTTTTCTCCTTGGATTGTAGAAACTGAATTTTCAAACCTTGCTTTTCCTTACATCTAATCTCTTAATTTTGAATTTTTCCTTTTCCAATGAAAGAGTGCAGTGCATCACATGGAAGAAGTGCGTATGAAGGCAATACGTCTGGTACATTAAGCATAGTTCCTGCTGAATCATTTAGTTGATTTCATAGCAGCATTTGTCAATTTGAGCTTTTCTTGCAGGTGGCAAATAAGCTTTATCCTTTGTCATCCATTTCTCAGCAAATAGAAGATTTTGCTAAGGAAATGATTTTTTCAGTGACAATTAATGATGCATCTGAAGTAACCAATGGTGAAGGGTCCATTGCTGTTTCGCAAAAGGTATTGACATGATATGGATATACTAATTTTTTTTTTTTCATTAGAGTTCTATGAATGACAAGTTTGTGTCATTTTGTTGTTGAACTTTATATGATAGTTTGTTTTTTTCTCTTCGTCGTTTTCATTTTCAGGGACCGGATGTTGAAAAGGTTCCAAACGAACAGTCATCATTGAGTGGCAGCACTAAAGATGTATCAGATAATCGTCAGTCATGCACATCTGACAGCGTCTCACCAGATTCAGTTTCCGAGGCTCAGAGGTGCATGTCTTTGTATTTTGCTCTGTGTACAAAGGTATTGTTTATTTTTCCCAGTATACATCCTTTAATGATCTGTAACTTATATTCTGTTATTTCATTAGAAGTAATGCATGCTGATGTTTTACGATGGCAGAAACATTCTCTCTTTCGCCAAATATTTGTCATCTATAGAAGCACATCAAAGGCAGTGAAGCAGGTTTCGGCTTTTTCAGAGTGAATATTGTCAACTATTGTTGTCCTGTCAATAGGTTACATTATTAATTGTATGCTGCAGGCAGTCCACCGCCAAATTCCAATACTAGTACGTACGATGGGCTCATCTTTAGATCTCCTTGAAATTATTTCGGATCCCCCAAATGGAAGCGAGAATCTTCTAATGCAGGTATACTGTTTTACCTTAAATAATATTTCATTAGTTTTGAAATTTTTTATAATATATTGAATGTTGATAGTTTTACATTGGCATGTCAGGTTTTGCATACACTCACAGATGGTACAATCCCTTCTAAGGATTTAATATGCACTGTGAAAAGGTTGCATGACTCAAAACTCAAGGTATTGAGAAGTGTTGTCTTAGCCTATTCACATTGTAAACTCATGGTTATGGTTAATAATTAGTTGATTCTATGCAGGATGCAGAGATTCTTATTCCGATATTACCTTTCCTATCGAATGATGAGGTACTCCCTAATTTCTTTCAATTGGATGTAAAATTCATTGTTACTTTTGGCTAAAATCCCATATAGTAGAAATTTCATCTTACAAACCGATTTTATAGAATTAAGATAGGCTTATATCTACTTTCTACGATTGTATCAAAGCCTATTCTAATAATGTTGGAACTATTGTACCAATTGTTATTGGACCGTTATTAGTCCACCAATATCCTCGATATAGGGGTTGTGTTGGAATTGGAGATCACTCATATCCTTGATGTAAAGGGTTCTTTTGAAATTTCTTATCGAATGAAGATATGATTAAATTATAGTTTATAAGTGGGGTGTAAACCTTATTTTACAAATAGGTTTGATAGGTTGAGTTAAACACATATTCACTTTCTAATACTTTTTATTGAAATTATGATTTATTTATATCAATAAAAAAAAAGGGATTTCATTTGAGCAATATATCTTTCTATTTTACTCTCTAATTATCTTGAATGACATCGCTTTTCATTTGGACATGTTTTAACAATTCATTTGACAGGTAATACCGATTTTTCCTCACATTGTGAATCTTCCTTTGGAGAAGTTCCAAACAGCACTTGGTCGCATATTACAGGTATCATTTATTTCTTTACAGTTATAGAGCTTAAGTGGTGCTACAACCGAGCATGGTAGTTAGTATATTCATGATACAATTCATACTCTGCGAGTCATGAAGGTGACACTATGAATTGTTGAACAACTCTTTTTTGTGCCTATATTGTGGAATATTGTTGTACAATTTCTTCAAATGTTTTTGGTATGCATAATGTGATGCCAGATAGTTTGCTGGAAGACCAAGATGACTTCCGGTTAAAGTAATAAGGAAAACTATTGCAGTTTGAGGCTCAATAATGGTTATAGTTTTAAAAATCCTGTTTTTCATAAAATTATTGTAAAAATTCAACAAACAATACCCCGTTTCTTAGGATTAGCCTTACACATGAAATTTAGTGCTTGTATAAAAGTTCTAACTTCCATGACCGGTCGACTTTGTGGGATGTACACATCACAGTATTTTAATAAGAAAAATAGTACTGAACTGCCGAGTACATTTTTGTAATTGAATTAATTGTAGAGTTCTTTTGTAGGGGTCATCACAATCTGGTCCGGTGCTTTCTCCAGCTGAAGTTTTAATTGCAATTCATGGAATTGATCCTGAAAGGGATGGAGTTCCCTTGAAAAAGGTAGGTATCTGATGATAATTAGTTTTCTGTATGAAAAAATATTTGCACAACCAAGGTGTTTTTATATGCAGATCACAGACGCATGCAATGCTTGTTTTGAGCAGCGACAAACTTTTACTCAAGAAGTTCTTGCCAGAGTTTTGAATCAGTTGGTGTGTTATGTGAATTTTTTTTAATGTTTCGAATGCACTGCAAGTTAGTGGATCTCACATGCCAAATAATTTTTGCCGCAGGTTGAGCAGATTCCTCCACCTTTACTATTCATGCGTACAGTTTTACAAGCAATTGGTGCTTTTCCAACACTGGTAAGAACCTTACTTATGCTTGGAAATTTTATAATGCTATTAGAGGAATTCAGTTGTTTAATGCAGACCGGAATTGAGGAATCCTAGTTGATTGTTTACAACTTACAAATATAGTTCTAGAAAGCCCCAAATATATATTTTCATTAAAGCTTTGCCATTTATCTATTCCCTGTTGCCCTGTTAATGTTCTAGCTTGATTTAATTTCTTATTTTTCTAACTGAAAAGATTCTACCATTGTTCATTATTATCTTTTTCTGTTGTTTGGTTTGAATCTGGTCTACTTGAACAAATTATTGACTTGTATAAACTGCTCTAGGTGGACTTTATCATGGGGATTCTAGCTCGCCTTGTGATAAAGCAGGTGAATATATTATTTCCTATATCTTTGTAATTCATTCAATTGCTCAGAGTACTTGTACGTCACCAAAAGAACTGTTGCAGATATGGAAATACCCAAAGTTGTGGGTGGGATTCTTGAAGTGTGTGCAGCTGACAAAACCACAGTCATTTGGCATTTTGCTTCAGGTAATGTTATTTGTGTTTGCTCCTCTTATCAGGAACTTATAATCATTTTTGAAGTTATGGCACTGTTCTGAATTAGTTTTCACTGTCTATTGCACCCTTACATAACTTTTGTATATGTGGACGTATATCTTAACAAAGATGAAAATATCAGTTATTTGTATCACACAGGAAGATTCATTGAGTTGCTTACATGAAATATGTGGAACAATAGCAATATAGAAACTTAACTGTTGATTTCTTGGGTTAATTGTTAATATCATAATTTGTTGCTGTTACTTCAAATCGTACTTTTTGTACATTTTCTTGTGACTAAGACTATTCGGAGAGCTCTGCATGTTAGATTAATGAAACTGATACAATTGGAAATATGAATGCAGTAGTTACATTATTACTATTATTGTTTATGTTTTGAAGTGAGGGGAATTGCATGGTCTGTATTCTTAAAAAATATTTTAGATGGCATTCAACGGTAGAGTTTGACTTCACTTCTATATAACAAATAGGTTTGAGAAAGGTTAATAATATGTAAAAGTCAGTTTTGCTTTTAGTTTATTTTTTAAATAATTACATTGCTGACATTTAATTATCATGTTAAGTTAGCATTTTCCTTTATTTTTCACTTGTATGCTTTCGAAAATTTTGTAACCATAATGAAAAAACTACTTAGTAATTATATACCCGTATTATATTTTCTTGGGTACACATTCCTTTTTTTTCTTCCGTTTCTAATTTTGGATGGTCTTTTTGGGAGTTTTTAAATTTTAAAACATGTCTGTTCTAATGCGTTTTCTTGTGGTGTATGCCTGCAAGCAGCTGCCTCCAGCACAACTAGAGAATGCATTAAATAGAATTCCAGCCTTGAAGGCACCATTGATTGCTCATGCTAGCCAGCCAGATATACAATCTAAACTCCCGAGGTTCAAGCATTCACATGGCACAACAGTTCCATGAATTTACCTTTTTTCTTTCCTTCTCTCTCTTTTTCAGGGTGAATTCGTACCATTCTAGTTTAAAAACTGTTTATTTATTTTTTGGGGAGGGGGTGTAGTCACGGTGTTTATGTTTGTGAACAACATTGATTCTGTGAGTTTTTTAATGTGTTTAGGGCTATGCTGGTTGTTCTTGGAATTGCATCCGATTCTCAGGTTTCAAGTCAAGCAGCACAGGCTACTCAGACACAAAATAGTCAGACAGAGACTACCCAGACACAAACTAGTCAGACACAGACTACTCAGACACAAACTAGTCAGACACAGACTTCTGAGACAAGCAACTCAGACAAGGACACAGTGACCGAAAAATCCAAAGAATCATCTACCGCGAGCTAAATGTGAGCAACCATGATGGTGTGGTGGAATTTATTATTCTACAACGAGTCTCAAGTTGAATTAGCCTAGACCTCACCAGACTAACCGCAGTCAGCTCTCTCCAGACACAAGGAATGAAGAGCCAATAGCCAATAATGATAATCAACACATTCAGATAGCTTAATAGTTGGAATGTGTACCTTCTGTCTGTACCTTGGCATTAGCAACAACCTAGCGTGTACATGTATAGTTGGAATAATGTATATTGGAGTGGAATGTGTTCCTATTTTTGCCCCAATTTTTGTTTTTCTGCTAGAATATAATGTGTTTCTGTTAAAATGTGTATATATTACATGTTGATTCCCCCCAGTGGATGCCGTTCTTGCGCATCTTGTATCCCTGGTTAAGACAAGGAACAGAGTATTTTCACCCATATTTTCTGTATCATTAGATTCGCATATGAAATTGTGTTGAGTTACTTTGATCTCTTTAATTTATTTGCAACGCTTTCATACAGAAAATACCAAAGTACGTTCATATGGTTTGCCATTATGTAGTGCTATGAAATAAAATGTCAACAATGTGTTAATATCCATTAATTTGAACAATATACTGAGTTTTGTATGTAGTGAACTTGCGGTATTTATGACTTTAGTCATTTTAATTTTCATTGTTCAATTAAGTTCTCATTTTTAAAATTAATGAAATTTAGTCTAATACTTAAATAACCAAAAAAATATTTAGGGCATTTGGTGATGTGGACTTTCCTATAATGAAAATAGGGTTTGATACTATTGCTTCATATTTTAATACCAAGCACGAGAAGAAAGTTTTTGTACGTTTACTTTTTGTTATCATATTTTTAATTACAAGAAAGATGCATTGTTTTCAATTTGTTTTCCATTTAAAAATAATGCATAAGAAACACTTTTTTTTCCCTTAATTTCCTGTAAAGGCTTTTTGCAATTAGTAATAAATAAACAAAATTATGTTTTTGTAATTAAAATGTAAAGACAGAAAATCAAACACTAGTAAACGTCTCCTAAATAACTTATTATATTTATGAAAAAAAAAATAAACGTATGAAAAAGAAAAGTATATATATATATAATTGTTTTTTTTTTTACTTTTAATCTTTTGAAAATTTGCCGAGTAAATAAGATATTATTTTGATGCAATGGTAGTATTTCTGTATGTCACTATAATATATATATATATATATATATATATATATATATATATATATATATATATATATATATATATATATATATATATATAAAAGAATGACAAAATAAATTATATAATATATTTTATCTTTTCTTATTTTTGGGATTTCCTAAATATCTTGTAGACGATTCTTTTTCTGTTTTTTTTATTATTATTGAAATGGTGTATTTATTTTTTTAAAAATTACCGATATTAGAAATTTTTTAAAATTATATAAATTTGGGTAAGGTATTTTATAAAACACGATTTCAGAATGATAAAAAAAATCATATTTCATATTTTTTAAGATTTATAGTTATACTAGACTTCTATATATATATATATATATATATATATATATATATATATATATATATATATAGATATTTATATAATAAACATATTATTTAGTATTATTTTTATTATTATATTATAATTAATAATAATATTTTTTATATTATAATAAAATAAATAATAATAGTAAAATTTATATTATTATTTTTAAAATTAATAATTATATTATTTTATTAGTATATATTAAAATAATAATAATAATAATAATAATAACAATAATAAAATAATTATAACTATTAATATTGTATTATTTATTATATTAATAATATAAATGTTATTATTATAATTTATTTTATTTTTAATTATAATAATAATAATTAAATTACATAATAAGAAATTGTTATAATTATTATTTATAGTAATTCAATAATACAATAACTATTAATAATAATATTAATTATTATTAATTAATAATTAAGTAATAAGATAATAACATTATTATCTTATTATTAATAAAAAAAATGAAATTAATAATAATAATTATTAGTTATATTAATAAATATAAATATACTTACGATTACTTATTTTATTATTAATTATAAGTAAAATAATATAAAAAAAATTAAACTGGTATACCGAGATATTCTTTCGGAGATCAATCTTAAATTTTTAAAAATAAGTTTGGAATTGTAGAGCTTTAGTTTATTTTGTAAATTTATAACATGTCTTTGGTTTGGTCCAGTATACTTTTTTTTATTTGTATGTATTTGTATATGTTATAAATGTAGTTGAAACAAAAATATGTTAGGAAAGACTTGTGATTGAAATATGTTGAAATATTGAATGACTATATTTCTTATCTCATGGTTCACTCTTTTTAGTATAATAAATTTTTGCAGATAACTTGTGTTTGCTTGAGAAAGACATTCATTGTTCTTGCTAAGTCCTTAAGCTTAATTGCTGAGTCAAAAGAGAAAAAGAAAAAGAAAATAACACTACATAAAATGCACATGCTACTCTAATAATTACATGAACAAAAATAGTTGTATTGTGGGCATACACGTGTTGCATAACAATTTAGGGTTTAGGGTAGTTAACAGTAGCAACCACAACATGAATAAATATGTTATGTGGTTGCAGCCTAGGCTGATCCTTGACATGAGAAACATTTTGAAAAGTATATTGGCTGAAAAATGAATAGTTAAACTTTTCCCGATTTGGTTTCTTTATGAGTAAAAACAAGTTCAGATCATCATTGTCAAGTTCAAATCCTGATAATTTAGTGTGATAAAACAATGCCTCGTACTTTGTTTGTGTAATTGTATATTATGTTGAAATCATATTTTCTTAATGGACTCTTGGTATCTTGACATGAGAAACATTTTGAAAAGTATATTGGCTGGAAACTGAATAGTTAAGCTTTTCCGGATTGGATTTCTTTATGAGTAAAAAAAGCAAGTTCAGATCACCATAGTCAGGTTCAAATCCTGATAACTTAGTGTGATAAAACAATGTCTCATACTTTGTTTGTGTAACTGTATATTCTGTTGAAATCATATTTTCTTAGTCATTACACACAGAAGAAATTGTAGTTGTGCTTGGTTATTTTTACAAATGTTGTTAATTTTTTCAAGTAATTCAGATAGCAAATCATAACTTGCAAGTATCTTCATCGAAGATTGTTCATACCAAATGGGCTCCTGCATGTGTATACCAAATTTCTTATACTTGCCAATAAGCTTTTGAATGAAATCCTTTCCTCTTAATTTGTACTCAAATGGCCCAAAACTAGTGAAATCAAGAATGCACCAATGCTCAAGTGGTTTTCCTTCCACCATTGATCTTCCAGCAAGATTCCAGTCACATTTCTAGAGATCCACTTTTAATTTGATGATCTTTCCATTTGGATCCCTTAGCTTCAATTCTACAGGACCAAGTACACGTCCCACAATAGTTGTCATAGTTGTGTTGACACTCATTCCAAAATTTTGAATAAAATCACTGCTGCCAAATGAGTACATTGTAGTTAGATATGTCTCCTACATATTAGAGCTTAGAAGATGAATATATTGGACCAATTTATAATCATGAATATGATAATAGAAATTACTTAGTAATGTATACAAAAAGTGAAGGTTTGTATTTATTACACTTCTAGGAACACTGTAAAAAATAATATCCTCTCTTGTCTTTCAAAGAAAGCCAAGCCTCTTTGATTTTGCATCAATGCATACAATTATTAATTGTGGATCACAGTTTATGATAGAGAGACAATTTCAATTAGAGTACACACATTCGAAATTTGCAGAAGTTCAAGTTGAATTTAGAGAAAGTTGAACTGCAGTGTTGTGCATGTCTCTTGCCTTGGATCTTCTTGGTTTTATGATGTTATGGAGGAATTGTTGAATTATTGGCAAGCGTACCAAAATTATCAACCGCAGTATAGTATTTCGATTAAATAAAAGTCGATCCCACGAGGAACGATTTCAATGGAAATTCCCAATTATGCTTACTAAGTAGATTAAACAGATTGGGTTTTGCAAATAAGAGTTGAATTGAAATTAAATGACAAAAAACTGTAAATTGTTGAGAAAATATCAATTAAATGTACTTAGGATTGACTTCCTTCCTTATCCCTCTTTTGTAATGGCTAAATTAATTAAGAACATCAATTAACCTAACAATGTTGATGCCACCTACTCAAATCATCCATGTTGATTCCTCACACATGAAATTCATAAGAAAACCTAATAAATGATGATTCCTCACACAATTAAGAGACTTTCCAGCATTAGGGTTAGGGTGTTAAGAAATTGATACATTCATTCCATTCCTAACAATTAACGTAACAACTATTCTTATCGTAATCTAGGGTTCAAGATATATTTTCCAATCATACCCCAAACATCAAGAATAAATCATTCCAAAGCATAAAGGATAAGAATAACAACATCAAAGCATAGATTAATATCTCAAAATATCACCATAATACAAAAGAGTTCAAAGGAAGTGCACCGAATCCTAAGAGAATGAAGTTAGCCACTCATGTTGGCCATTACAATGCTCCAATTGATGAAGAAGTGAAGAATTGATGAAGATTGGACAAAACCCTAATAGTAGTCGTGCCTCCTCCTCTCCAAGACTACTTCCTTTCTCAAAACACATATTATCTTTTTATAAGAGAATTTGGGTCGGGCCTCGGATCATTCATTCGCTTAAGCGTTCTTCTTTCTTTCAATTTTTCTTCAATTACTTCACTATTGTACTCCTTACTCTTGTATCAAGGTATTCTTGAATTCATCCTATATTGGAAGAAAAATAGATTAGAATTAGCAATAGTTAAGTGGTTTCATAACAATTCAAGGTATAGTTATATAAACTTTTTCCCACTTAACAACTCCCCCCAACCTAGAATCTTGCTTGTCCCAAGCAAAGTAGTTTTTCCAAAACAAAACCATCGCCTATTATCACTTTCTCTTCCAGAACCACAACATAAAAATTTTCAGAGGTGATGCTCT